CCGGGGGTCCTGCCCCCTCCCAGTGTCCCCTCCCTGGTCCCCCCTGTCCCACCCCTGTCCCCTCCCTGGTCACTCCTGTCCCCCCCAGTGTCCCCTCCCTGTCCCCACTCCTGTCCCCCCCCGGTGTCCCCTCCCTGTCCCCTCCCCGTCCCCCGGGGTGACCCCATCCCCCGGCGCTGCGGCAGGTGTCACCTGACGGGCGCGGTGGCCACGGCGTGCGGTGACGACGCGGTGCGGGTGTTCGAGGAGGTGTCCCCGGCGTCCCCGGTGTCCCCGGTCACCTTCGGGCTGGTGGCCCACGTGCCGCGGGCGCACGCGCAGGACGTCAACGGCGTGGCGTGGCACCCGCGGGAGCCGGGGCTGCTGGCCACCTGCGGTGACGACGGTGACATCGCCTTCTGGCGCTACCAGCGCCCCGACGGCCTCTGAGCCACCAAGGCCACCGGCCCGCGGCCTCCGGGGACCTCCAGGGCTCCTCGGTGTTCTCCAGAACCTTCCAGGGCTCCTTGATGTTCTCCAGAACTTTCCAGAACCTCCCAGGGCTCCTCGGTGTTCTCCAGAACCTCCCATGGCCTCCAGGGCTCCCCTGTGTTCTCCAGAACCTTCCAGGGCTCCCCTGTGCTCTCCAGAACCTTCCAGGGCTCCCCTGTGCTCTCCAGAACCCTCCAGGGCTCCCCTGTGTTCTCCAGAACCTTCCAGAACCTTCCAGGGCTCCCCTGTGCTCTCCAGAACCTTCCAGGGCTCCCCTGTGCTCTCCAGAACCTTCCAGGGCTCCCCTGTGTTCTCCAGAACCTTCCAGGGCTCCCCTGTGCTCTCCAGAACCTTCCAGAACCTTCCAGGGCTCCTCAATGTTCCCCAGAACCTTCCAGGGCTCCTCGGTGTTCTCCAGAACCTTCCAGAGCTCCCCCAGTTCTCCAGAACTTTCCAGGGCTCCTTGATGTTCTCCAGAACCTTCCAGAACCTTCCAGGGTCCTGGATGTTCTCCAGAACCTCCCATGACCTCCAGGGCTCCCCTGTGTTCTCCAGAACCTTCCAGGGCTCCTCAGTGTTCTCCAGAACCTTCCAGAACCTCCCAGGGCTCCTCGGTGTTCTCCAGAACCTTCCAGGGCTCCTTGATGTTCTCCAGAACTTTCCAGAACTTTCCAGGGCTCCTCAATGTTCTCCAGAACCTTCCAGAGCTCCCCCGGTTCTCCAGAACTTTCCAGGGCTCCTCGGTGTTCTCCAGAACTTTCCAGAACCTTCCAGGGCTCCTTGATGTTCTCCAGAACCTCCCATGGCCTTCAGGGCCTCCCCAGTGTTCTCCAGAACCTTCCATGGCTCCCCAGTGTTCTCCAGAACCTCCTGGTGTTCTCCAGAACCTTCCCATGTCCTCCAGGACCTCCTGATGTTCTCCAGAACCTCCTGGTGTTCTCCAGAACCTTCCGGTGTTCTCCAGAACCTTCCCATGTCCCCCACAAGCTCCTGATGTTCTCCAGAACCTCCTGGGATCCTCCAGAACCTCCTGGGATCCTCCAGAACCTCCTGGGAATCTCCAGAACCTCCTGGTGTTCTCCAGAACCTTCCCATGTCCCCCAGAAGCTCCTGATGTTCTCCAGAACCTCCTGGGATCCTCCAGAACCTCCTGGTGTCCTCCAGAACCTCCTGGTGTCCTCCAGAACCTTCCCATGTCCTCCAGGAGCTCCTGGTGTCCTCCAGGACCGTTCCCCGTGCTCCTCTCCCTCCCTGGCCGGATTTGTGGGATCGGGGTTTGGGATCCCGGGATCCGTTCAGGATTTCTCGCCCCAAGGCCAATAAATCCCAAAGATTTCCTGGAAAAATCCCCCGGATCTTCCCGAGGGGCCGGGGGGGGCCGGGAACCCTCGGGGACCCGGAAGGAGTTTGGGATCCGGGAATTTGGGAT